CAGAAGAGAGAGCCAGAAGAGAGAGAGTCAGAGGAGAGAGTCAGAGGAGAGAGCCAGAGGAGAGAGCCAGAGGAGAGAGCCAGAAGAGAGAGAGTCAGAGGAGAGAGAGTCAGAGGAGAGAGCCAGAAGAGAGAGTCAGAGGAGAGAGCCAGAGGAGAGAGCCAGAGGAGAGAGCCAGAGGAGAGAGCCAGAGGAGAGAGCCAGAGGAGAGAGCCAGAAGAGAGAGAGTCAGAGGAGAGAGAGTCAGAGGAGAGAGCCAGAAGAGAGAGTCAGAAGAGAGAGCCAGAGGAGAGAGCCAGAGGAGAGAGCCAGAGGAGAGAGCCAGAGGAGAGAGCCAGAAGAGAGAGCCAGAAGAGAGAGCCAGAGGAGAGAGCCAGAGGAGAGAGCCAGAAGAGAGAGCCAGAGGAGAGAGCCAGAGGAGAGAGCCAGAGGAGAGAGCCAGAGGAGAGAGCCAGAAGAGAGAGCCAGAGGAGAGAGCCAGAGGAGAGAGCCAGAAGAGAGAGTCAGAGGAGAGAGCCAGAAGAGAGAGCCAGAAGAGAGAGCCAGAAGAGAGAGCCAGAGGAGAGAGCCAGAGGAGAGAGCCAGAGGAGAGAGCCAGAAGAGAGAGCCAGAGGAGAGAGCCAGAGGAGAGAGCCAGAAGAGAGAGCCAGAGGAGAGAGCCAGAGGAGAGAGCCAGAAGAGAGAGCCAGAGGAGAGAGAGTCAGAGGAAAGAGCCAGAGGAGAGAGCCAGAAGAGAGAGCCAGAGGAGAGAGTCAGAGGAGAGAGCCAGAGGAGAGAGCCAGAGGAGAGAGCCAGAGGAGAGAGCCAGAAGAGAGAGCCAGAAGAGAGAGCCAGAGGAGAGAGCCAGAGGAGAGAGCCAGAAGAGAGAGCCAGAGGAGAGAGCCAGAGGAGAGAGCCAGAGGAGAGAGCCAGAGGAGAGAGCCAGAGGAGAGAGCCAGAAGAGAGAGCCAGAGGAGAGAGCCAGAGAGAGAGCCAGAGAGAGCAGAGAGTCAGAGGAGAGAGCCAGAGGAGAGAGCCAGAGGAGAGAGCCAGAAGAGAGAGCCAGAGGAGAGAGTCCAGAGGAGAGAGCCAGAGGAGAGAGCCAGAGGAGAGAGCCAGAGAGAGAGCCAGAAGAGAGAGTCAGAGAGAGAGCCAGAAGAGAGAGCCAGAAGAGAGAGCCAGAGAGAGAGCCAGAGGAGAGAGCCAGAAGAGAGAGCCAGAGAGAGAGCCAGAGGAGAGAGCCAGAAGAGAGAGCCAGAGGAGAGAGCCAGAGGAGAGAGCCAGAGGAGAGAGCCAGAGGAGAGAGCCAGAGGAGAGAGCCAGAGGAGAGAGCCAGAAGAGAGAGCCAGAGGAGAGAGCCAGAGGAGAGAGCCAGAAGAGAGAGTCAGAAGAGAGAGCCAGAGGAGAGAGCCAGAAGAGAGAGCCAGAGGAGAGAGCCAGAGGAGAGAGCCAGAGGAGAGAGTCAGAGGAGAGAGCCAGAAGAGAGAGCCAGAGGAGAGAGCCAGAGGAGAGAGCCAGAAGAGAGAGCCAGAGGAGAGAGCCAGAGGAGAGAGCCAGAAGAGAGAGCCAGAGGAGAGAGCCAGAGGAGAGAGAGTCAGAGGAAAGAGCCAGAGGAGAGAGCCAGAAGAGAGAGCCAGAGGAGAGAGAGTCAGAGGAGAGAGCCAGAGGAGAGAGCCAGAGGAGAGAGCCAGAGGAGAGAGCCAGAGGAGAGAGCCAGAGGAGAGAGCCAGAGGAGAGAGCCAGAGGAGAGAGCCAGAAGAGAGAGTCAGAAGAGAGAGCCAGAGGAGAGAGCCAGAGGAGAGAGTCAGAAGAGAGAGCCAGAGGAGAGAGCCAGAGGAGAGAGCCAGAGGAGAGAGTCAGAGAGAGCCAGAAGAGAGAGCCAGAGGAGAGAGCCAGAGGAGAGAGCCAGAAGAGAGAGCCAGAGGAGAGAGCCAGAAGAGAGAGCCAGAAGAGAGAGCCAGAGGAGAGAGCCAGAGGAGAGAGCCAGAGGAGAGAGCCAGAGGAGAGAGCCAGAAGAGAGAGCCAGAGGAGAGAGCCAGAAGAGAGAGCCAGAGGAGAGAGAGTCAGAGGAAAGAGCCAGAGGAGAGAGCCAGAAGAGAGAGAGTCAGAGGAGAGAGAGTCAGAGGAGAGAGCCAGAGGAGAGAGCCAGAGGAGAGAGTCAGAGGAGAGAGCCAGAGGAGAGAGCCAGAGAAGAGAGCCAGAAGAGAGAGTCAGAAGAGAGAGCCAGAGGAGAGAGCCAGAGGAGAGAGCCAGAGGAGAGAGCCAGAGGAGAGAGTCAGAGGAGAGAGCCAGAGGAGAGAGCCAGAGGAGAGAGCCAGAGGAGAGAGCCAGAGGAGAGAGCCAGAAGAGAGAGCCAGAGGAGAGAGAGTCAGAGGAAAGAGCCAGAGGAGAGAGCCAGAAGAGAGAGAGTCAGAGGAGAGAGAGTCAGAGGAGAGAGCCAGAGGAGAGAGCCAGAAGAGAGAGCCAGAAGAGAGAGCCAGAGGAGAGAGCCAGAGGAGAGAGCCAGAGGAGAGAGCCAGAGGAGAGAGCCAGAGGAGAGAGTCAGAGGAGAGAGCCAGAGGAGAGAGCCAGAGGAGAGAGCCAGAGGAGAGAGCCAGAAGAGAGAGTCAGAAGAGAGAGCCAGAGGAGAGAGCCAGAGAAGAGAGCCAGAAGAGAGAGTCAGAAGAGAGAGCCAGAGGAGAGAGCCAGAGGAGAGAGCCAGAGGAGAGAGCCAGAGGAGAGAGTCAGAGGAGAGAGCCAGAGAGATGCTAAATGCTAAATGCTTCATTAGCATTTTTAATAAAGTTAGCATTCCTCCAGTGGATTTTTGCCTGATCCACTTGGTTCGGACCATGAATCCTCTCTGCTCTGGTCTGGACCAGTGTAAAACCATGAATCCTCTCTGCTCTGGTCTGGACCAGTGTAAAACCATGAATCCTCTCTGCTCTGGTCTGGACCAGTGTAAAACCATGAATCCTCTCTGCTCTGGTCTGGACCAGTGTAAAACCATGAATCCTCTCTGCTCTGGTCTGGACCAGTGTAAAACCATGAATCCTCTCTGCTCTGGTCTGGACCAGTGTAAAACCATGAATCCTCTCTGCTCTGGTCTGGACCAGTGTAAAACCATGAATCCTCTCTTCCAAATTCCAAAGCCCCAAACAATAACTGTTTCAGAGACACTCAGGACTCGCTTCTAAATATGGACCAATGGCTCCAGAATACAGACATAAACATGAATTTGAAACCCAATTCACAACATAGTGATTAAGATAAGCATAACTCGGTAATACATGGTAAAGGGTGATTCATAATATGACGTAATATGATGTTTATTAGAACCATTAGAACATGTTCCTAAAGTGTGGTCCAGTTCTGTGGCAGACTTCTGTGCCTTGACCCTGAGGGCGACTGCTGCCAGGGTTGAAATAACCGTCCGACCGAGGCTCCTCTTATTTGTTGTGATTGAGTGAATGTTGTGAAGCTTTGGGTGAACTCTGCCACTGTCTCCAAAACACTTAGACTTTCCTGAATCCTCCAAAACATGACATCGAGACACTGGGAACGAACAGCTGGAGAGCAGAGCGTGAGCCCAAACCTGCTGCTGTTTGTCAGGGGCCAGGCCTTCGGGTTACCACACACAAAACCAGATTCTCATGAGATTAGATTAGATTAGATTCCATTGGATTATTTATTTTCACATACATCAAAATATCAGACCAACAACAAGTGCGTAGTTTAAAAGGGGGTTGGATGAAACTTTAATGATTCCAATCCCCAGAAACTTATTCCACACATCACAACATCATACAGTAGAAACATAGACTGTATATAGATGGATAAAGCTAACCCGCTAGCCCAATGTAGCCCAATAGGGAAGAGCTCATGGACAAAGTTTTGCTCCAACTCTCTCTGGCTCCTATTGACTTGCATTCTCAATGATCCAGGTGTTTATTTGTTGATATTGTAAATGTAAAAAGGATCGACCAATCACAAGCCTTTATTAATGGGGGAAACTACAGCTTGCCTTGGGAACCATCTGAGCAACAGGTCTGCCCCTGATACTGCGTGGAGCAAACCCCGTCGAAACAAATGCCCATATAAGGAAATTGACCCCAGCTAGCTTCTCGCATTCGGCAAACACAATCGTGACGCCCGCACTCCGGCTCATCTGGGGGAATCCTGAGGCGTCCCCAGGACCGCTGAGAGACACAGTCCTCCCTTTGTGTCCTGGCCTCCTCCTGGTCTCCCCCTGGTCTACTCCTGGTCTCCTCCTGGTCTCCTCCTGGTCTCCTCCTGGTCTCCTCCTGGTCTCCTCCTGGTCTCCTCCTGGTCTCCTCCTGGCCTCCTCCTGGTCTCCTCCTGGCCTCCTCCTGGCCTCCTCCTGGTCTCCTCCTGGTCTCCTCCTGGTCTCCTCCTGGTCCCCTCCCAGGAGGCATCCCAAACAGATTCAGTGCACAAGCCACTGGCTCCTCTTGACGTGGAGAAGCAGCAGCTCTACTCTGAGCTCCCTGGCCTATCTATAAGCCCCTCTGCAAAGGACAAGACACGGTGGCTGAGTGGTTATAGCTCTCTCGCTTCTCAGCAAGAAGGTCCAGGGTTCGAATCCCAGTCGGAACAGGGCCTTATTGAGTGGAGTTTGCATGTTCTCCCTGTGTCTGCGTAGGTTTCCTCCGGGTGCTCCGGTTTCCCCTACCACTAAAAACATGTACAATAGGTCTGAATGTAAATGAGCTTTGATGGACCAGTGTGTTCGTCATCACCGTGTGGAGTGATTACAACCATATCTGAACTCGGAACTTTGTAAAGCGCTTTGAGTGACCTTGGTCTGTAAAAAAGTGTGCTATATAAACAAACATTACATACTTCCTTTACTCATATGATCGGTACAAATTGCTACTGTCTTGCACTACAATATAAAGTATTTTACACTTGCTTCTTTATTATGCTAAGTTGGAGTTATTGTTCACTTATCTTCTGTAACCAGCGATGCAACACTGAAATTTCCCAACACTGAAATGGGACAAATAAAGGATTAATCTTACCAGGTGAACATACGGCACAAAGTATCCGTAGAGAGCGGCCGGAATCCCAAAGGCCCAGATGCGATAACCGAGGGACTTCCAGATGTTGACGTTGAAGAGCTGGCTCATCCGGGGACAGCGGCGGCCATCTTGCTTCTTTTTGGTCGGCATCAGGGGTCTGTAGGTGAAGCCCGCCAGCATGAGCACGAACATGAGGATGCAGAGGATTCTCATGGTGTTCTGGCGGCCCATCTTCTCCAGCAGCCCCGAGAGTAGGAAGGGCAAGGTGATGGTGAACACGCTGCTTCCTGCCGTCACGATGCCGTTCACCAGGCCCAGGCGCTTCTTAAAGTAGTGCCCCAGGATCACCAGGCTCGGCTGGTAGGCGAAGGAGCAGCCGCACGCAAACACGATCCCGTAAGTGAAGTACATGGGGCCCAGCGACCTGCGGAGAGACAAACACACAATGGTCTCACACGGCAACGTTCACAGAAGCAGCAAAACCAGGCTTTTATCACCGTTTTCATCACAGGAGGTTTTCATTCACTTTAGTCCCTATCACAGTTTATCAGAGAGAGATAGAGAGATACATACATAGATAGATAGATAGATAGATAGATAGATAGATAGATAGAGAGATAGATAGATAGATAGATAGAGAGATAGATAGATAGAGAGATAGATAGATAGATAGAGAGATAGATAGATAGATAGAGAGATAGATACATAGATAGATAGATAGAGAGATAGATACATAGATAGATAGATAGAGAGATAGATAGATAGATAGAGAGATAGATAGATAGATAGAGAGATAGATACATAGATAGATAGAGAGATAGATAAATAGATAAATAGAGAGATAGAGAGAGAAAGATACTTTATTGATCCAGTAGCAGCAAAAACAAAATAGATCATTCTAAAAAGCTAACAATAGTAATTATTATTATTATTATTAGTTTATTTGATATGGACATTTCAACTGCATTGGACAAACCAGCTACATTGTTTCCAGTGTTATAGCAAAACTGCTAATTTGCAACACCTGTCCAGGTCACAGCAGCAGAGGTGGCACATGGTACTGGACCATAGAGAGAGACCACATGGCACTGGACCATAGAGAGAGACCACATGGTACTGGACCATAGAGAGAGACCACATGGTACTGGACCATAGAGAGAGACCACATGGCACTGGACCATAGAGAGAGACCACATGGTACTGGACCATAGAGAGAGACCACATGGTACTGGACCATAGAGAGAGACCACATGGCACTGGACCATAGAGAGAGACCACATGGTACTGGACCATAGAGAGAGACCACATGGTACTGGACCATAGAGAGAGACCACATGGTACTGGACCATAGAGAGAGACCACATGGCACTGGACCATAGAGAGAGACCACATGGTACTGGACCATAGAGAGAGACCACATGGTACTGGACCATAGAGAGAGACCACATGGTACTGGACCATAGAGAGAGACCACATGGTACTGGACCATAGAGAGAGAACACATGGTACTGGACCATAGAGAGAGACCACATGGTACTGGACCATAGAGAGAGACCACATGGTACTGGACCATAGAGAGAGACCACATGGTATTGGACCATAGAGAGAGACCACATGGTACTGGACCATAGAGAGAGACCACATGGTACTGGACCATAGAGAGAGACCACATGGTACTGGACCATAGAGAGAGACCACATGGCACTGGACCATAGAGAGAGACCACATGGTACTGGACCATAGGGAGAGAACACATGGTACTGGACCATAGAGAGAGACCACATGGTACTGGACCATAGAGAGACCACATGGTACTGGACCATAGGGAGAGAACACATGGTATTGGTCTCTTCCTATTGTCCAACACCATGTGATCTGTGTTGGTGATTTCAATGGTTTTGTTAAGTCTCTGAGATGATGCTGTTGAACAAATTGTATTGTAACGTATTGTATCGATAAAGTTATCAGTAGGAAACAGTGGTTGTCGAGAACATTTATTTTCTCCTCCGTAACTATGGAAATCTTTTTGGACGTTTTGAGTGGAATTTGAAAGTTCCAGAATGTCTTCTTCTTTTTCCAAGCCTTTTCAAAACATGTAAACTTTGTTCTGTGAGATTATGTTGCAAAGGTTTTGTAATAAACTTCTTGATGGATTGAAGTGGAGTCTGGAGACAGAATAACATCTGCCAATAACATCATACATTTTTGTGGATGGAAACTGAATGTTCCTGTGAAATGGCCGCGCCCCGAGTTGGACCTGAGGACATTTTATCAGGTGTCACATGTGGAGTCTATACGTGATGTGTGTGTGTGTGTGTGTGTGTGTGTGTGTGTGTGTGTGTGTGTGTGTGTGTGTGTGTGAGGGAGATGTACTGTATGTGGCAGCAAAGTACAGGATCCTTGGAAATGAGAATCCTTGGAATCTCTGGGCAGGTTCCGGTGTGTGTGTGTGTGTGTGTGTGTGTGTGTGTGTGTGTGTGTGTGTGTGTGTGTGTGTGTGTGTGTGTGTGTGTGTGTGTGTGTGTGTGTGTGTGTGTGTGTGTGTGTGTGTGTGTGTGTGTGTGTGTGTGTGTGTGTGCGTGTGTGATGCAACCCTAACACACAGATGATGAAACATTCTGCTGACTAAACTCAAAAATGTATCATGGGAGAACTGTTTCTGCCGCATTAGAATTAATTTCACTATCATTTGTATGTATAATAATAATAATAACAATAATAATAGTAATAATAATAGTAATAATAATAATAATAATCTCTCTTATGTATATTAGATCATATTTATGTATTTGTATAGCACCTTTCACAGGAGGAGGTGCAGGAGGGTCTGAGGACAGATGTGAGGATCATATTTATGGACATCTGCTGCTTCTGGACAAATGTCTTTTTATCATTGCTTTTCTTGTGTTTGAACTGTTTGATTCTCTGATCTGTGTCGGAGAATCAACAACTTCATAAAACAAGTGGTCAAAGCCTCCGACTCTCCCCTTCCATCACTGACTGTACATGTATGTGCTGTACATGTATGTGCTGTACATGTATGTGCTGTACATGTATGTACTGTACATGTATGTGCTGTACATGTATGTGCTGTACATGTATGTGCTGTACATGTATGTGCTGTACAAGTATGTGCTGTACAAGTTTGTACTGTACCTGTATGTGCTGTACATGCATGTACTGTACATGTATGTGCTGTACATGTATGTGCTGTACATGTATGGACTGTACATGTATGTGCTGTACAAGTATGTGCTGTACATGTATGTGCTGTACATGTATGTGCTGTACATGTATGTACAGTACATGTATGTGCTGTACATGTATGTGCTGTACATGTATGTACAGTACATGTATGTGCTGTATGTGCTGTACATGCATGTACTGTACATGTATGTGCTGTACATGTATGTGCTGTACATGTATGTGCTGTACATGTATGTGCTGTACATGTATGTGCTGTACATGTATGGACTGTACATGTATGTGCTGTACATGTATGTGCTGTACATGTTTGTACTGTACATGTATGTGCTGTACATGCATGTACTGTACATGTATGTGCTGTACATGTATGTGCTGTACATGTATGGACTGTACATGCATGTACTGTACATGTATGTGCTGTACATGTATGTGCTGTATGTGCTGTACATGTATGTACTGTACATGTATGTGCTGCACATGTATGTGCTGTATGTGCTGTACATGTATGTGCTGTACATGTATGTAATGTACATGTATGTGCTGTACATGTATGTGCTGTACATGTAAGTGCTGTACATGTATGTGCTGTATGTGCTGTACATGTATGTGCTGTACATGTACGTGCTGTACATGTATGTAATGTCCATGTATGTGCTGTACATGTATGTACTGTACATGTATGTGCTGTACATGTATGTGCTGTACATGTATGTGCTGTACATGTATGTGCTGTACATGTATGTGCCGTACATGTACGTGCTGTACATGTATGTGCTGTACATGTACGTGCTGTACATGTATGTGCTGTACATGTACGTGCTGTACATGTACGTGCTGTACATGTATGTGCTGTACATGTACGTGCTGTACATGTATGTAATGTACATGTATGTGCTGTACATGTACGTGCTGTACATGTACGTGCTGTACATGTACGTGCTGTACATGTACGTGCTGTACATGTATGTGCTGTACATGTACTTTTCAGATACAGTTACAACAACTTATGACATATATGTTTCTTACGTGACAAAGGAGCTGGCGAGGAGCCCCACAAGTCCGACCGCAGCCCCGCCCACCGCCGTGATCCTGCAGCCCAGCAGGTCCGTGAACACGCTCACAATCGGGGAGCAGAAGAAGATCATGCCCATGGACAGAGAGCCCACCCAGGCTGCACACAAGACACACAACACACACAGTTACACACACAACACACACAGTTACACACACAGTTACACACAAAACCAACACGGTTACACAAAATTACACACAGTTACACACAAAATACACACAGTTACAGACAACTAGACCAGAGAGAGTCCTTTGAACTAATCACTGTGGTGCACATAAGCCACAAAGGTTTTCCTCTGACTTTAAATAAAAGTAACTGTCATGTTGTACTTATATGATGTTGTTTGAGTTTACGTACAGTACCTTTATTGAGGGTAAAGGTACTGTACCTACTGGTACCTACTGTATCTTTACCCACAGTAAAGGTACAGTAGGAACAGTACTTTATCAGGAGAATTCTAGAGTCTAGATTGATGCAGAGCCCCCAAAACAGGCAGATCCCAGTTCTGCACTGGCAGCTCGATGGCTGAGTGGTTATCACTCTCCTTTCACAGCCAGAAGGTTCAGATCTCACTTAGAACAGGGCCTTTCTGAGAGGAGCTCACATGTTCTCCTCCAGGTACTCCGGTTTCCCAAACCACTAAAATCATGTACACCAGCTCCGTCACTATGGCAACCCCTCGTCCTGACAAAGACACAGAAGCTTTGAAGATCGGGTAAAATGCAGAGGACAAATAAGTCTAACTTGAGTCTGGTGTGTGTGAGTGGTTGCCTCGCCTCTGTCAGCGTGCCCCAGGGCAGCTGTGGCTACTACAATGAATGGACTATATTAAAAATGACGTGTGAAGCGTCTTTGAGTCTCCAGAAAAGTTCTTTATAAACCCCAGTGCGTTATCAGAGATCCAACCAGCAGACTGTGCTTTCTGTGCTGCAGCAGTAAAAGTTCAGCAGAATCTACATTTTCACGAAGGAAACGACGCTGACGAGATTTTTCAATAATGAAACGTGTTTATCACTGAAACAAACACGTCGTTCAAACACAGGTACTTACCAACATGTGCTTACTAACATGTGCTTACTAACATGTGCTTACTAACATGTGCTTACTAACATGTGCTTACTAACATGTGCTTACTAACATGTGCTTAATAACATGTGCTTACTAACATGTGCTTACTAACATGTGCTTACTAACATGTGCTTACTAACATGTGCTTACTAACATGTGCTTAATAACATGTGCTTACTAACATGTGCTTACTAACATGTGCTTACTAACATGTGCTTACTAACATGTGCTTACTAACATGTGCTTACTAACATGTGCTTAATAACATGTGCTTACTAACATGTACTTACTAACATGTACTTACTAACATGTGCTTACTAACATGTGCTTACTAACATGTGCTTACTAACATGTACTTACTAACATGTGCTTAATAACATGTGCTTACTAACATGTGCTTACTAACATGTGCTTACTAACATGTGCTTACTAACATGTGCTTACTAACATGTGCTTAATAACATGTGCTTACTAACATGTGCTTACTAACATGTGCTTACTAACATGTGCTTACTAACATGTGCTTACTAACATGTGCTTACTAACATGTGCTTAATAACATGTGCTTACTAACATGTACTTACTAACATGTACTTACTAACATGTGCTTACTAACATGTGCTTACTAACATGTACTTACTAACATGTACTTACTAACATGTGCTTACTAACATGTGCTTACTAACATGTGCTTACTAACATGTACTTACTAACATGTACTTACTAACATGTACTTACTAACATGTGCTTACTAACATGTGCTTACTAACATGTGCTTACTAACATGTGCTTACTAACATGTGCTTACTAACATGTGCTTACTAACATGTGCTTACTAACATGTGCTTAATAACATGTGCTTACTAACATGTGCTTACTAACATGTGCTTACTAACATGTGCTTACTAACATGTGCTTAATAACATGTGCTTACTAACATGTACTTACTAACATGTACTTACTAACATGTGCTTACTAACATGTGCTTACTAACATGTGCTTACTAACATGTGCTTAATAACATGTGCTTACTAACATGTACTTACTAACATGTGCTTACTAACATGTGCTTACTAACATGTGCTTACTAACATGTACTTAACATGTACTTACTAACATGTGCTTACTAACATGTACTTACTAACATGTGCTTACTAACATGTGCTTACTAACATGTACTTACTAACATGTGCTTACTAACATGTGCTTACTAACATGTACTTACTAACAGGTACTTACTAACATGTGCTTAATAACATGTGCTTACTAACATGTACTTACTAACATGTGCTTACTAACATGTGCTTACTAACATGTGCTTAATAACATGTGCTTACTAACATGTACTTACTAACATGTGCTTACTAACATGTGCTTACTAACATGTGCTTACTAACATGTGCTTACTAACATGTGCTTACTAACATGTACTTACTAACATGTGCTTACTAACATGTGCTTACTAACATGTACTTACTAACATGTGCTTACTAACATGTGCTTACTAACATGTGCTTACTAACATGTGCTTACTAACATGTGCTTACTAACAGGTACTACTTACTAACATGTACTTACTAACATGTGCTTACTAACAGGTACTTACCATCATGTGCTTAATAACATGTGCTTACTAACATGTACTTACTAACATGTGCTTACTAACATGTGCTTACTAACATGTACTTACTAACATGTGCTTAACATGTGCTTACTAACATGTGCTTACTAACAGGTACTTACCAACATGTGCTTAACATGTGCTTACTAACATGTGCTTACTAACAGGTACTTACCAACATGTGCTTAACATGTGCTTACTAACATGTACTTACTAACATGTGCTTACTAACATGTGCTTACTAACATGTGCTTACTAACATGTGCTTACTAACATGTGCTTACTAACATGTGCTTACTAACATGTACTTACTAACATGTACTTACTAACATGTGCTTACTAACATGTGCTTACTAACATGTACTTACTAACATGTACTTACTAACATGTGCTTACTAACATGTACTTACTAACATGTGCTTACTAACATGTGCTTACTAACATGTGCTTACTAACATGTACTTACTAACATGTACTTACTAACATGTGCTTACTAACATGTACATACTAACATGTGCTTACTAACATGTGCTTACTAACATGTGCTTACTAACAGGTACTTACTAACAGGTACTTACTAACATGTACTTACTAACATGTGCTTACTAACATGTGCTTACTAACATGTGCTTACTAACATGTACTTACTAACATGTGCTTACTAACATGTACTTACTAACATGTGCTTACTAACATGTACTTACTAACATGTGCTTACTAACATGTGCTTACTAACATGTGCTTACTAACATGTGCTTACTAACATGTGCTTACCAACATGTGCTTACCAACATGTGCTTACTAACATGTACTTACTAACATGTACTTACTAACATGTACTTACTAACATGTACTTACTAACATGTGCTTACTAACATGTGCTTACTAACATGTGCTTACTAACATGTGCTTACTAACATGTGCTTACTAACATGTGCTTACTAACATGTACTTACTAACATGTACTTACTAACATGTGCTTACTAACATGTACTTACTAACATGTACTCACCAACATGTGCTTACTAACATGTGCTTACTAACATGTGCTTACTAACATGTACTTACTAACATGTACTCACCAACATGTGCTTACTAACATGTGCTTACTAACATGTGCTTACCAACATGTGCTTACTAACATGTACTTACTAACATGTGCTTACTAACATGTACTTAACATGTGCTTACTAACATGTACTTATTAACATGTGCTTACTAACATGTGCTTACTAACATGTACTTACTAACATGTACTCACCAACATGTGCTTACTAACATGTGCTTACTAACATGTACTTACTAACATGTACTCACCAGCATGTGCTTACTAACATGTACTTACTAACATGTGCTTACTAACATGTACTTAACATGTGCTTACTAACATGTGCTTACTAACATGTGCTTACTAACATGTACTTACTAACATGTACTTACTAACATGTACTTACTAACATGTACTTAACATGTACTTACTAACATGTACTTAACATGTACTTACTAACATGTGCTTACTAACATGTGCTTACTAACATGTACTTACTAACATGTACTTACTAACATGTACTTAACATGTGCTTACTAACATGTGCTTACTAACATGTACTTACTAACATGTGCTTACTAACATGTACTTACTAACATGTGCTTACTAACATGTGCTTACTAACATGTGCTTACTAACATGTACTTACTAACATGTACTTACTAACATGTGCTTACTAACATGTGCTTACTAGCATGTGCTTACTAACATGTGCTTACTAACATGTGCTTACTAGCATGTGCTTACTAACATGTGCTTACAAACATGTGCTTACTAACATGTGCTTACTAACATGTGCTTACTAACATGTGCTTACTAGCATGTGCTTACTAACATGTGCTTACTAACATGTGCTTACTAGCATGTGCTTACTAACATGTGCTTACTAACATGTGCTTACCAACATGTGCTTACTAACATGTGCTTACTAACATGTACTTAACATGTGCTTACTAACATGTGCTTATTAACATGTGCTTACTAACATGTACTTAACATGTGCTTACTAACATGTACTTATTAACATGTGCTTACTAACATGTGCTTACTAGCATGTGCTTACTAACATGTGCTTACTAGCATGTGCTTACTAACATGTGCTTACTAACATGTGCTTACTAACATGTGCTTACCAACATGTGCTTACTAACATGTGCTTACTAACATGTTTTTAACATGTGCTTACTAACATGTGCTTCATAACATGTGCTTACTAACATGTACTTAACATGTGCTTACTAACATGTACTTATTAACATGTGCTTACTAACATGTGCTTACTAACATGTGCTTACTAACATGTGCTTACTAACATGTACTTAACATGTGCTTACTAACATGTGCTTATTAACATGTGCTTAC